CATTTCTGATGTCTTTTGAGCTGTACCTTTTGGACAAGGAAAGTCCAAGGCACTTGTGAAGGCACTGCAATGAAACATTCTGAAAATGCAATTGTTGTGTATTATAGCACTCCCCTAATCTAGTGGATTCCAGATTGACTGCACTACAGTTCCTAGCATTCTTAACAATGGGCCGTGTGAAGTGGACCTGATGGGATCTGAAGTCCAGATCATCTGGACCAGAGTATCTGGTCAGGGAAAGCTGGATTGCTATTTGAACTTTTGACGTGATGTTTGTATTCAATGACTTTTGTATTATTATGAGAATTATTCATGTTTAAGATGTCTTTCTTTTGAGGAAAGGCTGTGGCCTGAAACATACTGGATTTTGCTTTTATAATATGATCCTGTCCCCCAGATCTTGTGGTATTTCTGATCCCTTCTGTATGTGCTTATTTCCTGAATGTTTAGGACAGTTCTCGATGACCCAACAGACCAATGGTGGTGTGGGGGAGAAGGTTGGATCTGTGAGTTCACCAAATGGAGAGGTTGCGAGGTGGTGCTCTCTGCACCATGTAACCGATGGGACACATTCATGGAGGAGAAGGCTGTATGCTGCCTCCAGTGTCAAGACAGCATGGAAGGGACCGTTCTGTCACTGTCATGCCTAGTTTCAGGATTCTCACAGGCAGCTAGTTGGCTTTGGTGTGAACAGAAAGCTTGGTGAGATGGGCCATTGGCCAGATCCAGCAGGGCTCTCCTTTTGTTCTTACCTGTGCTTGGCACTAGTCCAGAGGTATGGAACAAAGAATGTAGTCCAGTGATCTTCACCATTTTTCAAGTAGTATCTCTAAGTTTCACCACCAAAATGACTTGGGGGCCTTTTCTGAGGGACTTCTCTTCTCCACCAAAGTTGAGCAGTGACATTATGCTCAGGACATGGCTGGAGGCTTTTGGGGTCTCTCCTGCACATCCCACCCCTTGTTATCCAAGCATCAGTCAGTCAGTTTGTCAGCCAGGCAAATCCTAACAGGCCTGTTTGATCCTTGGATTGGAATGGATCTTTTCCTTGTCTCTGTCAGAGTATGGTGCTCTTCTCAGTGCTGTGGAACCCCTTACCCCTGGCCCATGTTGCCCTGTCTCTCTTCCAGCGCATTCCCAGGGCACTTGGGGTCTTCCCACCCCACCGTTAAGTGGCTGACCTCTTCTGGGTGCTCTGCTCCGCCCCTCCCTGCTGTTGTACAGCTGATTCCCTCACTACAGTGGTGCTTCAGCTCACGAATGCCTCAGTTCACGACCAAATCGGGAAAAATTTCCTCAGGTTGCGAACTCCGCATTGTGGGTGCTCTGGGTGTGGGGCGAGGGGGAAATGGCCACGATCGCGCCCATGTTCCCAACCCAAGTGCAACCGCGATCACGCCCGTCTCCCCCCAACGGGCCTGGATCGCGCTTGTCTTCCCTGTAAGTTAAAAAAATATTTGCAGAACGGATTAACCTTATGGGGAAATTTGACTTGGCTCACGACCAATTTGGGTCGCAACCAGAGCTGTGGAATGGATCAAGTTCGTGTGCCAAGGTACCACTGTACTTCCATAGCTAGAACACAGCAATTGGCCACCTGCCAAAGGAAACAAGGCAGTGCTAGGGAGCCCCTGCTAAAAGTGAGCTGCTATTGCAAAAAGAGGGAGAGAGTCAATGAGAAATAGAAGCAGGGAGATGCACTTGTGATAACTGGGAGCCCTCAGTGGCCATTGCTGCGTTCATGCTCAAGATACCAAATCAGCAGCCCTTCAGAGCACCGCAGTGCACCACTGTGAGCAATTCCCCACTTACAACAGCAGTGGTCTGAGCACAACACTAACCCACAGATGGGCAACCCATAGCCTAAGGGTTACCAGCAAAGCTTCCCTTGTGTCTGGCATCCCTGTCCCTGCGAGAAGCCCTCTGGTTCGCCTCCTCACAGGGCTCTGTGCTTCAGCTGCGTCACCGTGTGGCACTGTGGAGCTGCCTCTGGATAAGCATGAAAAGCACCTGGCTCTGTGTGTGCGTCTACCCACACATGCGTATATGTCTGGCAATGGCTGGATGTTATATTCTGGGCTAATAGAATTGGCAATTGCTAATACGATTGCTCAGTTGCCAGTGCTAAGCAAGTCTGAGCCTGGCCAGGACTTTGCAAGGAGATTTTCCTAGGAACAGCATGCAAACTACTGTAAACACCTTCAGGCCAGAAATGCAGTGTATAAATATCATTAAATTGTGAAATTACTTTCAATATTTGAAAATACTGTTGCTGCTGCTGTAAATCAACTTTTTCCAAGCAGGCAGGCAGTGCATTTGAATTGCTTTTTGAGTGACTTGGGCATCCAGTCTGTTCGTTTGACCTTTAGCGCAGTGATGAGAATTAAACCCTGTTTGGGGTGCTATCCTATGCACAGCTGGCTGTGGGATGCTTGAGAACATCAGAACGTAAGAAAAGCCACGTTGGATCAGACCAAAGGTCCACCCAGTCCAGCAAGCCAGCTGCCCTCAGGATCCCTCGAGCAGGATGGGTGCAAGACCTCCTCCTGCCCAAGCTCCTCAGCACTGGGTATGATGATGGAGGCAGCACACAGCCAGCAAGGCTAGTAGCCACTGATAGCCTCCTCCCTCTTGAATCTGACCGATCCCTTTTAAACCCATCCAGGTTGGTGGCCATTCTCACTGTCCATGGTAGCAAATGCCACGGTTTACCTATGTACTGTATGAAGAAGTACTTTCTTTTCTCTGTCCTAAACCGCCCAGCTTGGAGCTGTGGGACTTTTTTCTGTCTGAACATGCATACATAAGATTGCATGTACTTGTCGTGTTCGGCTTTAACTGGAAGGGCTAAAATTGCAATCCTGTGCATGAGAAATTCCCAGCATGCCACAGCCAGCCATGTAGAACTTTTTAAGGTTGCACAGAATTGTGCCTTTGTTAGCTTTCCCTGATAACAGCCCTTGGCACACATACATCAAAAAGGTATTAATGGGCAAATCAGCAAAAAAGCAAAGGAGTGCACTGCTTTAAGTGCTGCGTCATGCGCCTGACAGGTCTACATTTAATGCTGTGACTGTGCAGAAGAAGGAGCAAAGTTTTAATCTTTCATTGAACCCTTTTAATTACCATTTTAATGACTGTACCTACCAGTAGGAACATGTTTTCGTGGCCTGATGGAAAATTCAAGCTGTTGTGTATTCTTCTACTTTATGATATTTTTCCAGCCAGGTATAGTTTTGAAAAATGGTCATGATTAATAAGATGGGGTTCTGATGGCAGGACGCCAGCTTCAATCCCCAAAGGACTTCATTACTACAACTGTTCTATGGCTGCAGGATTATGAGGATGGGGCTGATTGTTCACTTGCTGTTTGACAACTAACGTGAACTGATAAAACCACCAACACTTATATTTTTATAGCAGTTATTCCTGGAATATCATCTTCTGTATCTTTGGCTGGCCTTGCCTATTTGGCATATATATGCCAAGGTGTTAATATACATGTTTTTGGAAGCAGTGCTGGGAACTGCATTGTAGCATCCAGCAAAGTGTTGAATCCATATAGGAGACCTGTTCTGCAAGCTGTATATTAATCCAGAAGGTACAAATTAGATCAGTTCACTTCAGAATATGGACCAAACAAAATTCTTCCTCATTCTTAGCTGTGAATAACAATCAGAAATTAAATCAAATAATGTAAATTCATATACTTTGAATAATATGTGGGACAACTTTTAGAGACCTTCACCAAACTTTAAAGCTGGCATTCCCTAACCCACTCCCCTTCATATGTGTTCTACTATAATTTCCATCATCCCCAACCTGCATGGATTTGTGTAGTCGACATATCCAGAAGGTGTTGTGTTGGGGAAGATCTCCTTTAAGATGAGCTGTCAAAAATAGTTTTATCATGGTACATATAATTGAAAAATAATTTTGCCTCTCCCTAACTCCAAACCCATTACATTCCACAGGAAGTGAGATATACATACTCATTTCCTGAAATAGTCTCTCTGCTTTTTAAAGCAATTGGACATATGACAGCCACATATTTAAAGCAATCTTAACTTTACTGTGCATAATTTTAACAACACTTTCTTCCCCTAGGATCAATAAAAGGAAAAGTTTAGGGTTGAGGAACAGGTTGTCATGTGGAAAAGCCATGGATGGCACTTACTGAAAGACTGGAGAGATGCTTGCTTTATCCTTTTAACATGACAAGTTTCGAAGACTTAATGGAAGATGTTTTAATAAGCACACGCAAATACAAGCTAGAACATGTTGACTTTGGAAAACAGATGAAGGGAAGTGTTTAAGCCCCATGTAGAAAAGCAGGCAGCAGCTGACAGTCAAGAGGAAGCAATATGGGCTGGGAAACACAGCCGATCAGCACCGAGCGAAATTCAGAATGTCCGTGTGTTCAAATCAGGGTTTAGCTTGTTCCAGAGATTGGCACGATCTGGCATTGTTCAAGGTCCACAACCTGGCAGGGAGCCCACCAGAGAAAGCCCACTGGCTCTGCTTGTGGTCTTTTGCACATTTGCTACCTCTTTGCTCACCAGCCCTGGGGAGATGGTGACAATGGAGGGGAGGATGGGTATTTGCAGCTGCAGGCACCTGCCCTTGCCCTGTGGTTCTCTCACTGGCAAGGTGGCAGCAAGGGGGTGAGCTGGAAGTGGCCCATGCTGAGGGCAGGTTAGCTGACAACCTGGACCTGGCGATGGTTCAGATGCTGAGCAATATTCACAGTGCTCAGAGTGCCAGCTCACTGAAAATACTGACTGATGGAATTGATTATTTTTCAGTGGCATACATGGAAGCAAGCATTCTAAACAGTGGGAACTATTTGGCCAAAAAATCAGCTAAGACCATAATAAACACTTTAATGAAAATCAGGTTTGTCCTGGAACTGGAAAAATGCTTTTTAAAAAATGGGAAATGTTTTCCCCTTCCCAGGGGTGACACTGAAAAGCAACTCATCTTTTTGGTTTCTTCTTTAGGTTGGTTTTGCACTTGGCAACGTAGTCGGGATGTATATAGCCCAGAATTATGACGTGAGTATTTTTTTCTGTTTTGCCACTTTTAAGCGTTGACTGTGTCAGGAGCAGGGAGTTTGTGGTCCCCAAGATGATGTTGGACTCCAGCTCTTGTCAGTCTGAGACAGCATGACTTGTGGTTGAGAATTCTGGCAGTTGCAGTCCAGCTGATGAGCCTTCATTTCCTCCTTCTTCTGACCTATATAATTGCAGTCTTTTGGTGTTGGTGTACATTGCTTTCTGTTTTGTATTTATTTTGTCTTTTGTCTTTTCATGATTGCTTTGAATATTAGTCTTAGGGCTGTTATTGGGGTCTTATGACTTTTTATTCTAAAATTTAAAGAAAAAATAGGCATATAGATTTGAATGTTTCAGTGCACATATATGAAGGGTGTGTGGGGGTGTATTATAGGAAAATATATAAAAACTATACAGAAGCTTCAACTAACGCAGACCAAATACAAATAAGTGTCTATTTGAAAGTGGCATCTATGCTTCAATGCTGAAAGCATTGTAAGTTCTTCAGTTCATTGCATTATAGGAAGTGAACTTTTATTCTTCCTGTGTCGTAATATCAGTCTTTTAGCTGACAGAAGAGTGTGGAGAACCTCATTGTGCCAACCATGTGATATGTTTCAGGTAGCAGGTACATCATTTTAAACACCAGGTACAGCAATCAGTAAATATTAAGACTGTCCCATAACCAAATTAGGCATACAGTGCCCTCTGTTTTCTGCTTTTGCCCTGTGCTGAATAATGTAAATAGAAACTTGATGGCATGGTGGGCAAACTTCATGGGATTTCTTTAGCTCAAATTATTTTCCTTTCCATTTGAAAAAAAGAACAAAAAACAAAACAAAACCCCCAATTTCCATGATTTTTAAAATCTATTTTTCTGCATCAGTTTTTGTTGTAATTTTTTTACCCAACACATTACATTACATGGGACCGTCAAATAAATAAACAATACACACACATACACCAAGTTCTTTTGTGGGTATTTGTAAGGATTTTTTAAAAATATTCTGGTCTCTTTTCCAAAGTAGTAGTTCGCTGTAGCTCAGGACATTGTTTGTGTGATGATATCCTAGAAAGACTACATTGTGGTTCTACTTGTATGTAAATTCTGCTATGAATTCTTTAACCCTGCAAGGCTTCTCTTCTGCTTTTTAATAGGTTCCGAGCATTGCAAAGAAACTTGAAGACTTCAAGAAAGATGTAGAAGCTCGAAAGAAGCCTCCGAATGATAAATGATGTTGACTTAGCCATCTCTGTATTAAATGTAGATTATGTAGTATATCCCCTGGGCCGCAGGTGCCTAACCTTTACATGGCTTTTGTGGATTCCTGCCAGGTGTTGTCTAGGCTGCCCTTGGGCTGAAGGGTCCCCATATCTGTGGGACCTTCCAGCACTTTCAGGATATTTGACCTTTTTTCCTAACTGCACACATAACAGGAGAAAACAAAACAGAAACTGGACTTTTTCTGTGTATTTGTTCAACAATATTTTATATTCAGTATTAATATGATTTGGATATAGAGCAGAGCAATGAAATCCATTTAGTTATTTCAACCAAACTAGATTCTGTTACAGTAGATCATGAAATAAACTGAAGCATTTATATATCTGGAGCCAGCATCCAAACCTTTATTTCCCTGAATTTAATCAGGAGCACAATTTTACAGTCCTTTGTACAGCCTGTTTGTAAGGTACAAAATCAGTGGATTTTTTTTCCTGAAATGAGAGCTTATTTGTTTGAAACTTGTTGGGTCTTGTGCCGTCAATTATTGCATATGATGCAAAATGAGCGTATGATGTTGAGCAAATCCGAGAAGCATGAAACACCTTGCTTTTACCGATTCTTCTTCTCCTAGGCATTATGCTCAATAGCACTTTTATAGGTTATACAAGTTGCTTGCATAACTGAGTTTTTTTCTCGAACAGTGTGCCTGATAACAAGGTATCCTGTGGTGCTCGTGGAGGAGGAGAATGCACAGCATTCTAATTCTCTAATTCTCTCTATATTCCGCGATGTGTCAGCCTATGGTTCAATGACGTGCTTGCCATCCCACTGTAACGTAAATGCTATGTAGCGCCCTGCGCTTGTAAGCGGACGGCAATGTCTTTAAAGCAGGCTGTGCAGACTTTGTGCCATGTTCTTACTGGCCTGCATCCAGCGTAACCCTTTTGTGAATGGCAGAGCTTGCGATCTGCTGAAGGTGCCACTCATGGAAGTGCAAGGGGAAGCTCTTTTTGACAATTCCCCCTTTTCCCTGCGCAAGCCGATTTATTGATTTATTTGGGATATTTCTAGCTCGTCCAATCACTTTTGTTTCTGGACAGCTCACAGCGAAATCTATAAATACAACAATAAAAATAACATAATTACCCCAAACAATATTTATTTATTTATTTATATTGTGATTTATATCCTGCCTTTTTCCTACAAAGGACTCAAGGCAGCTTACATCATCTCTCCTCCTCCATCTTATCCCCACAACAACAACCCTGTAAGGTAGGTTGGGCTGAGAGTCTGTGACTGGCCCAAGGTCACCCAGTTGGCTCCATGGCTGAACAGGGACTAGAACCCGGATCCTCTGAGTCCCAGTCCCATGCTCTTAACCACTACGCCACACTGGCTCTCCTAAATATCCCATGACTGAAATAAATAAAAATGATTATTAAATAGATTAAAAATAATTAATTATAATAATAATTAAAACCTATTAACATTAAAATATTGGGTGAATAAAAAGGTCTGGACCTGGCACCGAAAAGCATATAATGACTGCGCCAGGCGGACCTCTTTAGGGTTTTAAAGGGTCCTCTTCATGAATGGGAGATCCCTTGAACCAGAAGCACAAGCAAGAGATCTCTGGATCCAGCGCATGTTGTTCAATAGAGCCGTACAATAACTTCACTGAGATGCTTTTCTTTGAGCTCAACTAGTGGACATGGCCAGTGTCTTGTCTGCGAGCATGCACTAAGCTTTGGCCAAATCATGCCTGAACTCAGGGTTCCTAGTTCTGTGTCTGCTTTGCTAAACTCTTGTGCTGTTGGTAGTCTGTTATTAACTTGCCTCCTTCGTGAGGTTCCTGGGGTTCCCTGGCTCACGTTCTTCTAGGCTTTGTCAAAATCTGCTTAGTCCAAAAAAAAAAAAAAAAAAAAAGTCCCCAAATTATAGCCCTCCTGCCTTTTACTGCTTTCTTTCTAAAAGCATCCCTGTGGTAACAGACGGTATCTATGCATTTAATTTCTATATAGCACAGTGGCCAAAGCTTTCTGAAAATGTCTCCTGATTTACATAAGAATAGTTTGATGGGATAGCTTTATGCACTGAACAAAAGGCCTCAGACAAAGGAAGAAGGGAAGGTTAAGTACAGATGATCTTAGTCTCTTTTGAAAGCCAAGAGTCTGAGCTAAAACCTCCAGGAAACCATTACAATCCATTAAGGGAAAGCTTTATTATGCTGATTTGAAATGTTTAGGGCAAAGCATTGTTATTTGGAATGGAAATTCAGTAGGTTAAGTATTGTTTTGCAGAATTTATTGCATAACCTTAGGAAAGATAAAACCCTAAGTTTCCTTTGCCTGCTAAAGTCATTCTTAGATGAATTGAAATTGAAACCTCTTGGCAGAAACATTCAGTCAGGACAAAACCCATTCATATTTAACATTTTTGTTGCCTGAGGAGCTTGTTCTGGGGTCAAAAATTACCCCTTTTCCGACTAATAATAGGTTTAATTTTAATTCAGGATGCAGGTCCATATACAAACCACTTGAACTCTTAGTTAACATCCTTGACTCCTCCTTTTAGACTGCAAGTTGTGGTGCTGTCAGGAGTAGGAGATGGTATCTGTTTGGGGGAATATTACAATGAGCAGGGCTTTATGGACCTTTATGTTGTGTAAACCAGGAATAGCAAAGTGAAGAAGTACAAATCAGTTCAAAGATGTGTAGCCTATTTGGTTATTACAAACATCATCATAGTCACCGATAAAATCAAGCTTAGAATAACTGTGCACCCAAAATTCAAACAAGTGATTCAGGATGGGAATGAAGCAGTGCTTTTGCTGCTCCATCTTATTTTAATAAAAGTTGGACATGTGAGTGGAAGCTTTACATGTTAATGTTGCATCTTCCTTTGAACTTTCTTTGTCACACTCTTACTGAGGGCTGTTCAGAGACTTCCGTGTCTGAAGTTTGGGCTCTGCAACAAAGTTCACCCCCAAAACTTCATGCCTAATCTGATGCCTTTCAGATGTGTTGGACTTTAACTTCCATAGGTCCCATCCATCATGCTCAGTAGCCCTGTTGCCAGTTGTCGTCCAATACATCTGGATAGTGGCAGGATGGGGAAGACTGCCCTGGAGACATAAAGCCACAGGCATTTCCTAGAAAATATCCCAATTCTAAAAGGTTTTCAGTGTGTGAAGTTAACTGGGATCTGATTGAACATATTCATTTGATTTAAATTTAGTAAACTAAAAAGCCTGGTTAATTTTATATATTATGTAACTGTCTCAGACATTCTTCCAGTAGCTAAAAGTATTTCACCTGGAATATTTGGGGTAGAATGAAAAGAATCAATAAAGGACATTTAATGTGACTTATGCATCCTCCAGAAAGGTCAGGGCTTTATGTAGAAGTTCTTTTTCTTGGAAGGAACTCTTGTAAATGTTTTAAGGCATGACAGCTCAACAACTTACATGCCTTATATTTAAACAAAAAAGGCAAAGCTGTGAAAGTTGAAGGTGTTATCCAACTCTGTTGCAGAGTGAGCACTAATGATGCTGCACTTTTGGAAACCAAAGCTGCACACTGTAGCGAGTGTTTGCTAGTGTAAAAGCATCACTAAGGCGAGGTTTTTAGGCTCATCCATTCACGCTAGTGCTGGGTCACAATTGCATGCTACCAACTAATTTTAGCGTGCCTAAAGCATTGTGACAGTTACTTCCTAAGCATAATTACCCGACAATACCGAAATGGCTCAATTTGAAATTGCTCACTTTAATTCATTTTGCAACTAATGTGTTCATTCTTTTGCTAATTAATCTTTTATCCACCCATTACATTACTAATTAATTTTGTGCAACAATACAACTTTGAGAAATTGAACATTTCCTGATGAAAAATGAAGTAGAAAATTTGCCATGGAAGTTTTCATTACCACATCACTGCTGACCCCTCAGAAGGCAAGCACTGGGCCATGCCTGGCCTGAACTCTATCACTGTACAAGTTCTTGAGTTTTCACACCTTGTCAGATGGATTTTTCATTTTATTATTTATTTGGAATTCTTGTATGCCACCCCATTTGCATAAGCCTCGATTTCTAAGGCAGCTGCATGGGTATCTTGTGCTTCTAGACAATGGTGTGCTGAATTACTGGATCGAATAGTCAACAGATGAAGAGTGTTGCTTGCCATTACTTTGATGTAGTTTTCATTGAGTTCTCAAAGGCACCTGGAAGTTTGTGGTTTGTGTACATCTCCAAGAAGTATATAAAAGTAAATACTGGAAGATCATGAGCTGTTTTAATTAATAAAAGGTGTCAGCATGACAATGAAACAATTGGGAGGTTATTTCTTTTGACTGGACCTTAAATTCTGTATAGAAAGCATAGTCCAACATTTTATAATCAATACTTGATTATCTGAGGTTAAAAAAATGAGCATGTAAACAGCTCCACCAGGCATGGCTGCACACCGTTAGGTTGCCGGTATAAGCTTCAAAATATGTCTTTCAGGATAAACACCTGAATTATGTCTCTTTCTCAGAATTCTGTCCATGGTTTTTGTGCCATGGAACAAAGCTCTTTTGCAATTTTAGTCTTTTGCAAAGTTGAGGGTGTGCAGCAGTTGACTCAGATTAAAAAAAAAAAAAAGTCCGATCCTTTGCAAGTTTAAACAGAAGGCCTGCAGCTCAGCATGCCCCGGCCAACTCACATTGGTTTGTACCCCTAGTTGCTTAAGGGCACCGTGTTGAGGTTGTCTGGTGGGCCACAGAATCATTGGATGTCCCAGCTCTGAGATCCTGCAATCCCTCTTGGGCTGGGTCCAAGGTTGCAAATGCAGCCCCAGAGGGGGAAAAGGCATGGAAAAAGTGGGGCAGGAAGGTGAGGACTGGGGCTATGGACTTGCAGCCATACCTCTCCCTGATGCTTTAATAAGATTTAGGGGGCATGGTGTGGGGGCAGCTGAGATTCCAGCTCCCACACCTCATTTGCGCATAAGAGGCACTTAAGCTACCTGTTGTTCAGTCGCACAGTTGTGCCTGACTCTTCACAACCTGATAGGCCATAACACACCATGCCCTCCTGTTCACTGTTTCCTAGAGTTCACCCAAATTCATGTTCATTGCATCTGTGACACTATCTAACCATCTCATCCTCTAAGTGACCTGGTTGTAAAAATGATTGTTTTTACTATATAAATTACTGTTTAACTGCGTGAAGTTGTTGGGTTTTAAAGTTTTAATGTTCTAAATTGTTGTGCACTGCCTTGAGACTCTTTTTTTAGCAAACTGGGCAGTATATGAATATAGGCATACCTGGAAGATATTGCAGGTTTGGTTCCAGACACCACAATGAAGTGAATATTTAAATAGAGTGGGTCAAATGAATTGTTTGGTTTCCCAGTGCATATCAAAATTATGTTGACATGATACTGTAGTCTGTTAAGTGTGCAATAGCATTATGTTTAAAAAACGAAGGTACATAGCTTAATCAGAAATACTTCAATGCTAAAAATGCTAATCATCCTCAGAGCCTTCAGCAAGTTGCAATCTTTTTGCTGGCGGAGGCTCTTACTTCGATGTTGATGACAGCTGATTGATCAGCAAAAGTTTTAAAAAGTGCAAGAATTACCAAAATGTGACACAGGGACACAAAATGAGCAAACACTGTTGGAAAAATGGTGCCAATAGACTTGCTCAGCTCAGGTTGCCACAAACCTTCCATTAGTAAAAAATGCAGTATCTGTGAAGTGCAATAAAGTGCAGCACAACCAAATGAAGTATGCCTGTATTAGTAATAAACAATAAATAATTTCCCTCATCAAGTGGGCCAGCCCCACTCATGCAAGTCTCTGACACAGCTACAACACCACCACTGGCCTTTCTCATACTTAGGTCAGGTTAGCTGGTTGCTATATTAAGAAAAGCATCTTCAACCTCTCCTTTATCATCTCTTCAGAAGACAAGGATATCAAAGGCTTGAATAATTTATTTTATTGGCAAACACTTTCTACAGCAGAACCATTTCGACTAGCAACAGAATAGGATGATTATGTTTCTTTGGTGGGAAAAAGGACCTATACAACCTGCTCAAAGTACAATTACTGGGGTTAACATAGCAGATCACTGTTTCCCCCCCATACTGTTTCACAATGTGCAGGTTACACCAGTTATTAAAATAATATGTCTGCTGTATGGGCACTTCGTGTCATGTCCAGCACTGAGAAGGTCAGAGGTGTGAAGGCCAGGGTGCTTCTGCTTTGACAACTGAGGAGCCGGCAGAGTCTGTCCTGGTTCAAGGCCTGGTCACATCTGCACACATGGGATGCAACTTCTCAGGAAGCTGCAGCTCCGTCATGTAGAAGCAATGCTTTGCTGATACAAAAATGCTTCTGTAATACACCCATGGTATTGGTTGCTCCTTCCAAATAGAACCTTCTAGGCCTTCATCAGCCCACATACAAGTGTGGAATTCTCTCCCCACATCTATGGTGACACTCAGGATGTGTCTAAGGATTTAACCACAGAGATCTCCATTTGGAAATCAAAAGCAGTGAAGTAGTTTAGTGCATCTAAGTGAAGAAAGGGTCCCTCCCTCTCTCCAAATGCTATGGAGCCAGAGTCAGACTCCCTCAGGGCCTTCTCTAAGTGGTGGAGGTAAAAATAAGACCCCACAAAAGAGTGAGCAAACATATGCTTTGCTTAATGGGACTTGGAGATCCAGGGGCCCAGAATGCAGGCCCATTACCATGACAAAAGCAGTAAAGAGATGAAGGTTCATTGGTCAGAATTAGGGCTAGGATTTAAGGCTTCATGGAAACTCATTGCCATGCTCCTTTTATCCAGATCTTGTGAGGCTGGTTGGTCCTATGAGAAGCAGTGCAAATTCCCGTTCATTCAGTTAAGCCTGCAATCTCCATGCTGGTTCATGAATGTTTGGAGTTGCAGAAGCTTTTGCTAAACGTGCACAGAGTTGTGTCCTAAATGAAATTTACAAACAGTAACAACCACTAAATACATTTCAGGGAAATGTGCATAGCCTACACATTGCTTTTAATGTACTGCTAATGCGCTCATCAAATCCTGCAGGTGCCATACCACAAGAACCTTTAAGACACCTAGTTGTTTTGTGTATTGAATGGAGAACATGCAGTTAAAATGGACTTTGTGGCATTTTGCAATGAAAAGGACAAGAAAAATGAAGCTTTAAAATGAATTTGTCCATTTTATAAAAGGTGCATTGGTTCATTAGATAAAAAAGAAAGCAAGCAAAAGCAAAACTTCAGGAAGGAAATACCTTTACTAGGACCAATAAAAAATATAAAATAGCAATTTTAAATGGTTTTTAAAGCTGGACATTATGTTAATATAAAATACAAAAATGGTCCATGGTAGAAAAGCTTTAGCATGGCCCAAAGTGTAGTTTCAGAAATGTAACAAATGTAATTTCAGAATTAAAATGGCCATGCTAATTATTTCTTGACACACAGGATTGTATGTATGGGAGAGTTCTTTGCATGTTTCTGGGCAAGGCACATATTTATACAGAACTCCAAAAAAGCTTGTTGTGGGTATCTTGTATTTTCCAGAGCAATGAATGATCAACTTCATTCTCTTTATAGAGTAAATAATTCCATATACAACTTTCTACATTTAACAAATATAGATGCATACACAGAGAGGGAGACTGAGAGAGAGAGATGCACATGGAGAAATTCAGCCTTTAAACAAGCCTTAAATGTTGGACTGGAGCCATTGTAAGTTATACATACTCATCAAGAAAAAAAGGAGAGAGATTGGTTACATGTTTGATACAGCAAACACTGATTTCCTGTGGAAATAATGAGAAAAGACTGGAAGAAAATCAAAGTAAGACCAATGCAGATTCGACAGACAGAAAGTTCTAGATGGTAGGGACATTATGAGCTTCAGGAGAACTTCAGGTCGAGTTCTGGTTAGCAGAATAATATACACTCAAGTCTTCCTTTCTTAATGTATGTGCAAAGATGTTGCTGCAGTTTGGCAAATCCTGCCACCGGTGACTATAACAGGCCAGTGGCGTTGCTGACAGCTGCCCAGTCTGGAAACACATTCAGCTGGAAGAGTCTGATCCCCCAAGTATTAATTGCCACCGTGACAACCACTAGACCAATCAGGTTAACACCAAAGCCAGCTTTGATCTATAAGTGGAAAGAAAACAGACCACAATGATGATAATCAATTAGGGTAGGAGTTCTCAATGGAAGCAGGCAAGATATTAGAATGTGGGAGATGGAGATGGTGATGACGATGACTGCTGCTGCTTTGCATTTATATCCCACCCCTTCCCCTCTTATGTGGAATCCAGTGCAGCTTAGATAGCCCCATTTATCCTCACAACAACAACCCCATGTGGTGGGCTGGACTGAGAGTCTGTGATGGGCTCAGAGTCACCCGGTGAGCTCTGTAGCCCAAGTGGGGAGTAGAACCTAGATCTTCTCGGTCCCAGTCCAGCACCCTCACCGCCATGTCACATTGATGCTCCCACATCCCACATGGATGATGAGCCTTTCTATTTTCATAAGTTGGAAAAAAGTGTTCAGTTCTTTATGAATCCAAGAGCAAAAGTATCTTTTGTTCCCTGGCCCCTTTTTTAACAGATGCATATCCCTTCATTGGGCCTCTGCTACTTGTACCGATGTGGCTGCAAACTGTGCGTAACTTTGCATTCTGGTTCACCATATTCCAGGCATTTATCTTGGTCTGCACAACTCCCAGCTTACGAGGGCCATAGGAAAGGTTTGGTACAAGGATGGATACCATGCAGAGGGGTTCAGAGGAGGCCCAGCAGGCACCCAGCAATTAGCAGATTTAACCAGAGTGGAGATGGCAGTCCACAGGGCCCCCTATTTGTGTTTGGTTGTTCTCATACATTTGTCTGTCTGAATGTAGTTATAAATATAAATTCTAGGGGTTTGATTGGGGGGTGTTGGAGAAGGTCCTTCAGTCCACATTCTCTAGTGGACTGACCAAATGCATAATTCTTCGTCTATTGTACACTTCGGATCATGGTGATCCATCAGATGATTGTGCACTTCTGGGGTGGGGTTACAACCCGTAACCCCTAAGGCTGAGCATGTGCTTTACATGGAGATAGCTCATATGCAACCTCTGGCATTTGCATGTCGAAGAATGAGGTAGCAAGAGATGAGAAAGACCAGGAAACTGGCACTAGGCAATAATGGACTCAATGGCATATAATTTAAGCTGAGAAAAGCAGATTCTGAAACTGGTATAAACAATCTAATTCCAGCTCCAATTCTTACAGTCCCAGGGAAGGCATCTGTAAGATCTGGGACCTGGGTGGCAGGTAACGATGAAAGGAATGCCAGGACCAGGTCACAGGTGTAGGGTGAAGTCCTGCCTTTTCTACTGGTCTCCAGGTCCTCCAAGCCTTTCATACTTGCTCCTCAGCTGTTCCCTGAAGTGTTCCTGGTTTTGTTCCTGGTTTTGCAGGCACTTCCAGGGTTGCTCAGGCCCTGATCCTGACAGCATTCCAGGAGACATAGGCTAGAATAGATTTTTCTGAATGCAGAGAGTGCAGTCCATTCCTGAGGGGAACGTCTGACCTTAAATGCCACCTCCCAGCCTCCATGGGGACTTTCAAGAACTTTGTCTTATGTACATGGAAACTCCAATATTGGTAGCAACAAAAAGGGGGTGCATCCAGCACTCTCCTGTTCATAATTTCCTTCCCATTGTTGCCAAAGACAGGGAAATGGTTCAAGGTAGAAAAAACTGGATTGCTCATGAAACCATATCCTTCTCCAAGCATGATGAAGGCCTGGTAAGTCCTTGGATGCAGAGCTTCTTCCACATCAACTCCTTCAGTCTTCACTGCTGGGATAGCTCTGTTAGGGACTCCCCAGCCAAGACTTCCATCTTCCTTAATTCATTCACAAAAGCTGACCTCCCAGCAGACACCCTCTATTTTGAATACAATATCCAATTCCATATTGGAGGCACTATAGTTAGAAACAACTGCAGTGTGAGCCCATTACTAGTTCAGCACTAGACTGGAGTGGCTGGTTGCCTCCATTCCTAACTGATTTGATCAGGGGTTCTGGTTGCCTCACTCTGGCTACATACCATATCTTTGATCCGGCAGTGCCCATAGTTGAAGACAATGGCATTTGGAGGGTTGCCTACGGGGAGCATCACCGCAAAAGAGATGCACATGGTGACGGGGATCAGGGTGTACAGAGGGTTGATTTGCAGAGTTTCTGACTAAAGAGAGAGGAGAATGCAATGTTATAGGTGAAACAAGAAATGCCTTAATGAAACGGGTTCCTTGGTCTTTAGAAGAAGCTATGGTATTGAGCTCACTTCATGGTTTCAGATTTAGGCTAAGATCCAAGAGACCCTGGGTTCAAATTGGCACTCAGCCATGAAGCGCCATGGGTAGCTTTCAGTTGGTTGCCATCTATCAGCCTAACCAACCACACAGGGTTGTTGTGTGGACTAAATAGATGGAGGCAACCTTGTATCTCAAACTTGGTTTTCCTCCCTTCGCACATTCCAGACAGTAGACCATTCCTTTGCAAAAGTTCTTTATTCACCTAAGCATATCCATTAAATTCAATCACCACAGAATGAATCTCTGAGATGCACAGAGTTATTTGTTGAACCCAATCTAGCAACGACTTCCAAGAACGCTCCTTCTGAGTGAGTCTGAGCCCCTTTTGGCAGGGAGCACACCTTTTCTCTGTATGCCGCTCTCTAGCTGGCTTTCCCTCCTCACTCAATGCCACAATGTGGGGTCAGGAGTCATACCAGCTTTGCCTTGCTCTGAGAACTCCCCTCCCAGGCCTCCCAACAGTTGTACATCTCAGCTATCCCCAGAGTTTGTCTCAGCTCCTGGAGACAGAGGCCTCGACATAAGCTGTTCCATTTGGCCCATCTCCAAGCATTAAGTCCCAAGTTCCCAGACCCCCTTGGCCTCCTGCTCTGGTGAGTCCAGATCACTGTGACTTGGGACCGCATGCCAAGAACAACTGCCTCTTTCATCCCCGACACCTTGGAAGAAAACTGAGTTTAAAACTACAATAAAGAATACTTTTATCCTCCAGTGTCAATCCTTCAGCTTTCTTATCCTAGCAGTACAAATAATAATACAAAACGCTAAAAAATCTCCTATATTTCGATGAAATATTAATCATTGCGTATTTTTAAAGAATTTTATACACTTTTCTTTTAATCCACCAATGTGAACAACCCAAATCCAAGTGCATTAAAAAGAACAAATGTACACATAGAGATTAAAAAAGGATGAATGGGTGTATCTGCATAATTTATATTACCGTGAAACAACAAGCACAGGTCAACTGGAGAAAAAGCCCTACTAGTTATATTTTCCACTCACCTAAAAATCAATCCAAAATCTGTACTCACCATACTGCATAAAATAGGTAGGAAGATCGTTATGGTTGCTGGGTTACTGACGAACTCCGTTACTATGGAGACCAGGAGGCAGGCCAGCAGACTGACAGCCCAAGAGGGGAGACTGCTCAGGGACAGCATCTGCCGCCCAATCCAGGTGGAAAGGCCGGAGGTCTGAGGGGAAAGGCAGCCGTGAAAGAGGGAAGGCCGACAACCCTCCGCTAAGGCTTCTTCTCCATGGATCATCATATCCTTCGGGGATGTAAATTAATCCTCCATTCAGAGGGATCTGAGATGGGCTTGAAATGGTCTGAGGATTTTTTCAAATGGACAGGATTCAATATTTTGAATTCCTTCAGTTTCTGCTTGGCACTAAGTGACCAGGTTACTACATACTCTCGTTAAGACCATCTTCAGATTGGATATGGTGATGACAACACCAGCAACCCTTTAGCAACCTGCCTGGTCACCGAGGTCATTGGAGTTCTCCTGGTGGTCCACATGGACCTGACTGGAATGCCCCAGCAGGAGAACCTGCAATGTGGTGGCCCCACTCCTAAAGACCTCCCTCCATGTGGAGGTCAGGCATCCTCCAGGCTTTAGCAGGCTTTGCCACTTGCTGAGGACACCTTTGTTCCGGGAAGCTTCTTTGCTAACCAGCCACTGTTTAAATATCCTGTTTTTAATACATTAAGCAATTTAATATCTCGCTTTTATTTTAGCATTTGGCACTGCACCACTCTGGAAACTGTCTAGTTATGGAGTGGTATGCAAATACTGTAGCGTGAATGGATGGATGAATGAATGTTGATCAAGATTATCATCACTGTCATCTAATTCACTTTGTAGCTGCCTTTCCAAACAGCTACATTATCAGCATTCACTGGGTGGTAACTTATGGGAGCACTGCAGTCCTGCCAGCTCTTTGCACAGGCGGGGCCCTGTGTTTGTGCAGCAGGCTTAGCACTGCAAAATGCAAGCCTCAAAATGAGTGCAGAAGGCCTGCAGAACCCCAGTCTGGGGGCTCTGCCATACTATCCCTTTCCAGAAATCAATGTTAGGGGGTTTTGCGCAATGCACAGAATCCTCACAGTGGAAGCAAAATGTCTTGGGCAATAGTGGATCCAGTCTTAGATTTAGACTACAATAAGCCAGCAAAACAAAATGCAGTAAAATAAAACACTGCAAAACATATGCAGCAGCTACAAAACTTATCAGTGAGAAGCCTGAGAAAACAACTATGTTTTCAAAGCCTTTTTGAAGACCCCACAAAGGGAGCCAACAGTATATCTCTTGAGAGCAATTCTACAGAGCAGAGGCCACCACTGAGAATTCTGCCACCCTATTGCCTGCCAACCATGCTAAACTTGATGATGGGCCAGCAAGGGGGCCTCCAAACCCGGGCAGGCTCACAAGGGTATATGAAGTCATGAGGAGGAAAAGGAGAGCAAGAGGCAGCTCAAACAAGACAAACATAAGAGGCACTCAACAGGATGAAGAATATCAATGATGAAATGACCTGAGATAAATGAGAGCAGCGATGGTCCACCTGTGCTCACAGTCAAATTTCATGGGACCCTTACCTGATTGCACAGGTGAGAGCAAGCTATTCCTCTCCTGGTATCCTGCTGGCAGGTAAGATGAAGAAAGGGAGGCAGGATTGACAGAAAGAGGTTCCCCATGTACTTTTGGTGTTGGACTTGCACCCCTTTGGCTTCAGCCATGCCCACTGCCAGGATACCCCCACCCCCACCACACACAGAATGCCCCCAAGGAAATGCTGGCCTTGAGGGAAAATGGGGTTTTCACTCTTGCCTTACAGAGAGAGGCATTTTTCTTGGGAAGACAAATATTTCAGTGTTCGAATCTGGAGGCGGTCAGCTCACCTTGCATCCAGCTGCTAAAGCGTAGCCTCCTCCCACCAGAACAACAATCTCCCATGGCATTGTTTTCTCAAAGTCTTTCCAGGTGATGATGGGTCCCCTTGAGCTGCTGTCTGTAGAATTTGCAACATCTCCTGCTACAAAGGAAAGCTACATCTGAACAGGTAAAGCTGCCATTGTTCCAGATCCCTTTGCCAACCCTATCCTTCAGACTCAGGTCCCCAGGAAGCCTGCTGTCAAGACATCTTCAGAAAGAAACATGACATGTTCCTACCTATGGCAGATGTCTGGCCTGACCCCAGTTGGTCTTCTCCACACTCTTTTAAATGCTAAAACCATTTATTAAAATTGGAGCTTAAAAGAAATAACTGCCCTGTTCAATTTGTTGAAATAAAGATGGCCAAAATCTGATCATGCCCCTTAGAAGTACACCTGGAGAATTCTACCATAAGGATGAAGTCAAGCCTAAGCTGGCAGTGGGCTTGATGGCTTTGCCTACTAAACAGTCCTAGCTAAAACTGAGGGATCCTGGGAGTTGTGGGCCCAAACATCTGGGGGCCAGAAGTTGCCCATCCCTGCTCTAAACAGATAGCTGAGATGACTGAAGAAGGGAAGAGAGGGCTGAGGAAGTGGATGTTAGATCCTGATCAGGATTCAGTGAGAATATGCATGCTTGGGCAGCTTCAAAGGAAGGAGCGGGGATTCCTTCCTATGGAAAATACTAAAAATATGGATAAGGAACTCACACCTTCCTGAAATCCTTCACAGCTATGTTACAACTTTCATGAGTCCCTCATACCTTCCGCCTTCTTTCCAAAACAGGGTTTCTTCGCTGGAATCAAGAAGAGGAGGAAGCCAAGGAAGACAGAGACCGTGGCATCCGTCCGGTAGCCTTTCCTAGAGAAGAGGCATTGAATTGTGTTAGGGCAGGCAGAAGCAATAAGCAGCAAAGACATGTATGTAATGCCATGTCCTGTTTCCTCCAGAGGGCTTGCTCTTCTGTGCCCCAAACACCATATCATGCACCTGCATCCCACGTGTCATGGCAGCCCAATGATTTCAGCTCCTAGCAGCCCCAGTCAGCAGAAATTCCAGATGCTGTTGTTAGGGGCAGTGCTAGGCATTGAAAAGATTTGGGGCTGAGGTCCACAGGAGGAGGAGAAAGACAACTGATCTGCATATGCACAAATGTGCAAACTTACATACCACCTGAAGTCTGTCAAGGACCCTGCAAACAAAAACACCCATTTATAAAAAAGAGGTATGGACCGAGGAGAGGAGGAAGTTTGATCTCAGAAAATCAAACTTCCTGAAGAAGAAAGAGTCAAGTAGTGGAGGCAGCTGGAGGTCAAGCACATGTGGGCAAAAAGCCAGCTAATCCAGGGGATCAGATAGAACTGTGGCCATCAGGGGTCCCACACCTTTATTTCAGCAAGTGTCCATGGATGGCAGCAAGGAGGGCAGCTTGTCTCCCAGAGAGCTGGAGCTCTGAAGGAAAGAGCTTTGCATGTGGAGCTCCTGCCCTAGTGGGCTTCTCCATAGCACTGCTGCTGGTCATAGTCTACAACATCTGGAGTGTATCTGGTAGGGGAAGGCTGAATTACAGGACCCCTATGAGTGGTATGAAGTACCTGTATGGTAGTTCACATGTTCAAACCACTTCAGATGCACCTTCCTGTGGCGACCCTTAAAATTCTGTAAGGTGAGGTTAATCACCCTGGGATAAGACTCAAGGGCAGTATTAAAATACACATAATAAATGAAATAAGTGTTATCATTTTCTCTATATTGTACATACCAGGGTTAAGTCTCAGAAAGATTGGCTTACCTAAGGCCACCTAGTGAGTTTATGGCAGAGATGAGATTCAAAGTCAAATTTAGGTTGAGGGAGTTCCTGGTTCACAGCTCAGTCTCTTAGAATGCAGTCCAAATGGCGCACTTGCAACCTCTCAATTCAGAGCAGCCTTCCCCAACCTGGTGGCCTTCAGAGGCATTTGGACCACAACTCCCAGAATTCCCATCCAGCAGGGTAATTGACCGGGAATTCTGGGTGTTGCAGTCCAAATATGTCTGGAAGGTTGGGGAAAGATGACTTCAAGTGTGGTGGTCATCCAGTGGAGGGCAAGAGAAGCAGAGCTGAGGACTGCCTCTGTGTTCCTCCTTCCAGCTGCCTCAGTTTTGACAGTGGCTTGTGAGCTGAGGAGCCAGAAGCACCACAAGGGTGATGGCAGCTCCTTGTTCTTCCTTTCCCTGCCCCATGGGACACCCCACAACTCAGGCTCCAAGGGCGATCGCATGACCTCAGAGCTGCAGCCAGTACTGAAGGAACAGCACCAGCTGGGAGAGTGAAAGGAAGGTCCCCCAAATTCCCAGTTCTGACTTCAGAATGCTTTTCTAAAGTCAGAGCTGGGACTCTGAATTATCTGAAGGCCTTCATAACAGTGTCTCTATCCTTTTTCCATTTAAACAACAAAAGGGGTTGCTGGTCCTGATACTAAAAGTAATAAAACTCTGACCATGTGCAACTTTGCATTTTAAAGCCACTGTCCTGGTTTTCTGAAAACTATTCCGAGAGCCATATATGGCTATGGAACAGTATAGAAAAGCAACACATACATAACATACATACATAAAATATAGAAATCAAATGGAGCCTGCTTCTGATGCCTCCATCACCTTCAGCTCTCTGTTCAGGTAGTTGCCCTCACCCTTGGACTATGATGTTTTGAGATTTGGCCCAAAGGCCCAGCTCTAGCAAAACCACTGTTTGAATAGCCATTGGTTTGGTGATGCCCTTACCTTGGTTTTCTGCATCCAGCAGGCCTATTAGGCCTGCCCTCAACTCTATGATTCTGTGAGTCACAGATCCTGAGAAGAAGCTTACTTTTCAAAGAATGATGACCAGCCAGGCACAAATCCAGGCTCCCGTGTAAACCACAGCAATGTCATCAAGATGAAAAAGAATGCCGTCACCATTTCAGGATAGCTAGGAAGGAAATTTAAAGAAGGATTTAAGGAAAGAGCTTTACCATGCAGAATGCTGCTGACTAGCTCTATTTAAACTTTAATACTGGGGTATTGTGGTCTTTTCTTGCCCCCTGGCTAACTGCCCCACTGTAATAATGGAGGTGCAAAACGTGTAAGCTTCATTTACCTAATTGTTCCCAGTTTCTCATATTCTTCTTGGATTCGCTTCTCAGACATTTCTTCCCGTTTGGTTTTTCTCTTCTTGCTTATTGAGCATGTCTCTTTAAAACTGAGATCGATATAATATGCAGAAATAGAATATAATTAGATTATGGAACTGGAGCTTGATTTGCATCAAATATTCACTATTTGCAGCATTCACTTTCAAATTTGCATACTGGAGGCAGCTGAACTAATTACAGATGAAAAACACTCACCTTGCCAAATGTTCCTATTTCTCAACATTTATGAAAATGAATCCGTCTCTAAGGTTTACCCTGAAAAAAATGGCCTTACTTCAGCCTTAAGAACTTCTTTTAAATATATCCACTGAAATGAATGATTGCTCAACAACGTGTGTAATTCCTGAGATTATAGTTTTGCTTCACAGACAGGCATTAAATAAGAACATACGAGTCCATTTGGATTAGACCAAGAATATCTTGTTTCGAAATATCTGCTGGTTCGGGTTTCTCTTAGTGTATAATATTTCTAATCTTAAATTCAGTCAATGAAAAGGGTTAAACATTTCTCAAGTCATCCTGAACACTGAGGATTTTTTAAAGATTTGCATGGCAATTCAAACATCTTTTGTGCACATTTCTTTTAACATATGCATTTTTGCATGAATGCTTGCCTAACACACACATTTTCATGAGCACATTTCCTAATATAATGCATTTTTAAACATTATAAATGAATTTTTAATCAGAGAATTTGATCGTAAAATTTGGAAAAATGTGATTGTCCAAAGACAGGTGACTTCCTGTTCTTAGAGTGGTCCGAGAGTGTATGATTAGACAAATTAACATTTTCATGTGAATGGAACACATTTCTCCTGGCCTCCTGAGTTTGTCACTCTTGTCCCCACCATGTCCAACCAAAAACTCAGAAGCAGGACCTTGGGGCCATGACCTCTCCTACTATTGGTCTCTAGTGACTGGTATTCAGAAACCTCTGATCCTGGGATGAATATACTGGCAAGCCAATCAAAGGATTGCACTATTACAGTTTTCAGCTGTTATTAGTTGTATTTTAAGGGTATATATTTTTTTAAATTGTTGTAAGTCATCAAGGTAGTCTTGTTCAAAAACAGGATATTTTTTTATGTAAGGGAATAAACATTCCCCGGTAATCTTCAAGAGAACAAGTAGGTTCTCTCAAGTTATACATGAGGTACTGAGGGCAGGATAAAGTCTTTGGAGTTACATCAGGACCTTGACAGACACGTACAAACGAACTGTGTGTAACTCAAGGCTCGGGAGTCAAAGCCAAGTAACCTCTTTGCTTTCCATGTCAGTGCATAAATTGCATGCTGCTGTTTAAAAAGGGAATTAACAAGTACATTTTATGGTTGAGCAGGTTTGAATCTCATCTCTCTGCATATGCAAATCCGGTGCATGTCTTGAGATCAAGAGATCATCTGGGCAGCATCTCAAGAGCAGAGCTTCTAATTTAACTGGAGGAGTTCCAAATTTTTGCCTTCCCTTTTGTCTTTCTCCGATATTGCTTTCCATAGCTGTCATGTGCTATGCCCGAGTGGCGCCATGCTTAGAGGTAAATCCCAATTCACTCATGACACTTGTCGGATGACCTTGGGCCAGTTACTTTCCCTTAGCCTGGTTTATCTCTCAGGGTTGTTCCGAAGGTAAAACAGAAGCATGAATCCCCATGAGCTTTTTGGCTGGAGGATCTCCAGATGCCAGTGGCTTAAGCTGCCAGGTAAAGAGCCCTACCTACTCTTTCTTCCTGATTTCTAGGCTTCCACTGCTTTCTGCCCCGTGTTTATTTTCTCCTCTCTCTTTCCTTCACTTCTTGTCCAGACCTTCTGCCTTGGCTTGCCCTTTTCCCACAGATTCTGCAGGCATATTTGACCCATTGCCTGGGTCATTTGCTTCTTTGCATATCTCCTGTTCTTGGACTATTGCAGTGCCAAGTTTCCAGTGAAATACATTATTGAATGAAATGCAGTAAGCAGGAGTCAGAGATTAATCAACCTCAGAAACTGCTAATGTTTCATAATAGGTTTAATTCTCTAACAGATTAAAGGAAAAATCATATTCAAGTAAATAATTGGAACTGCAACATGGAATGTGAATACTCTTTGTGAAAGAATTATGGATCATGTTAGGACTTGTTGTAGGATTATATGTTATTTCTGATTTATTATAGCCCATTTTTATTAGGAAACAGAAAAGCCCAGAGACTCAGTGAAGCACTTCCAGGTTCTAAGCCAAATAAAACCTGTCGCAACTAGGGGTCACTGGCCTTTTCTAGCTATTCATGTACTAGCATGACAACGATTTCTTTATTTAGAATACTTGTTGATGTGCTTTGCAAAGTGGAAGGCTGCCATTGGGGGAGGCGGGGAAACCTCACTCAAATATTAGATCCAAACCACATTGTTAAAAGCAATTGAACACACAGGTTGTGTAGTGGGAAACCTATAAGGATATGTGAAATGTCCACAGAATCTGTGCACAGGAGAATCTAACCATAGCTAAGACCCACATTTAAAGCCAGATGAAACAGGAGACAAGCAGTCCACTCTGGTATACAAAGTGACCTTCATCTGTCAGTATGAGAAGTCTGGAACTGCTAAGCAAAAAAACTGGACCAAAAGCATACAGCTATTGGCATCCATTGCCCATTTTGGATGCTGGGACAGCATCCCAGCCCCATTCTCAGCAGGAAGCCGCACTCTGCGGCTGATCCAGACTGCTGCATCTCGTAACCACTCCTCTGCCGCCACGTGCAAGACGCTGGGGCCTTGGGTGGGGGACGCGGGAAGGAGGTGGCGGTGGCGGCAGGAACAGAGACTCTGAAACAGCAGATTCTGCTCATGGGCAGCGAGCAGGAACTGCTTGGTCTGCACCAGCCCACAAGGAGTCAACCAGGAACACTGTTGGCGTAATTACTCAGGAGGGACAACAGAACAGTTTTTCACTTTCCAGCTTTCACGTTCCAACTTCCCAAAGTCTTCCAACAAGCCATTGCATAAGTGTCATATGGCCCCAGCTGTTTAGGCTTGAAAAATCAGTTTTATCAGCTCCGGTTTGGGAACTGGAAGTCATCTGTATGATACAAGCTGGAAACAAAGAGCAATTTGCTCTTAGAGGGCATTATCAGTGGTGCTTTTCCTCCGTGCTTGGGTTGCATTTAGTGAAGGGGGTTTTCCATAAAGTTTTGAACAGATCGTTTTGACCATTTCAGGTATAATGTATGTCATGCAGCATCTTGGCCCACAAGGTGCCTGAATGTCACCAGGACCCAAACTGGGCATGAGAGTGTTAGGCATAGCTGGACAGACCAATCTATTTCCACCCCATTTCACTTTCATTCGTAGGTCCATTCTGTCCTGTGTTTGATGTATTTTCAAAAAGTATTCCACTGAAGAGTCTTATATAAATATCATTTTAATAAACTTTGTAGACTTGTTTTCTGACAAAATATACATTTCAGAGTATCTTATTCTTAAAGATACTTTGGTCTATTTTTTGAGCTGATAATTTAAATTTTTGAGCTGTGGGGATTGTGAAATTCAAGGATTTATAATCTGAAAGATGATATTCTGAGCTGCACATTACTCAAGGAGGAGCCAGTCAGGTTGGATGGCATCACAATTAGCAGGGACAGAATTCTTCAAGCAGTGTTAGCATGAAGTTAAAGTTTCTAGCTCCTAGGACTCTGTGGGGAGTTGGGAGGGGTGTGGGCATCCAGGCTGAATTGTGACCTAAGAAATGTGCACTTTTAAAATGCACACATTTACAAATGAAGTTTTTAAAATGTATAATTAAAAGCACCTGATTTTCAAAATCTACACCTTTAATGCACTTTCGTGTTTTAGTCAACGGGGGAAATTGTGCAGTTTTGAAAAGTGCATAACTTTTGTTTGCTAGCAGCAATTTTCCCATTGAAATGAAACCAAAAATCAGGCTGAAAGCAAGAGCCAAGCAAGCTGTGAGCTGCATCGAGCTGTGCAGGAAGCTTGGGAGAATTTTGCTGAGCCTGAGCATCCCTGGATCTCCCATCCCTGGACTCTACTTACTTGCACCCCAGGAAGAGCCAGTGCATCCAAAACCAGGTCAGCACCAACATGATGAGAGAGATGGGAAAGCTGAACAAGAACCAGGTTCCAAAGTTCACCACATCAGCATTAGGGTAATGGCTGGAATGATTTTTTAAAGAATACACATCTCACATATGTGAGTGAAAAATGAATACGTTCAAAGAAAGAAGTATACATAAAGCAGAGGTATACAGGAAAGAAGTACACATACAGCAGATTAGCTAAACAGACATGTGCTTTCCTTCTCTGAAAAGGAAGTGCAGAAACCCCAAGAGTGAAGCAGACCCTTGGTCCCTCTAGCTGGCATCACTGGCCCTGGAGTCCCTTTCCTTCATGCAAGCATCTTTCCTCACTCCTCCTGGAGACGCTGGTGGATGAACCTCAGACTTTTTGCATGCAGGCACATGCAGGCACATGCTGCACCACTGACCCACAACCCCTCCACCTGCAATCCAGGCGGTGCACCTAATGCTTTCAGCTCTTCTCCCATCACCCTCTGCACCCCTCCCTCCAAAAGGGAAATATGTAGATTTTTATGGATGGAAAGGGGCAAAGTCTTGGGGTCAACCTTACCATGGAAGGAATCATCCCAAACCCCCTGGACAGCATCTGAGGGGCTGCATGAGAGTTCAGATTCCCACCTCCAAGTCTGGATTCAGTGCTCCAACCTCAGATCTGGGAATTGGAACACCACCCCCTTCCCCTCTGCAGCTGGCATGGAAAGATCTCCGTCTGCTGCCTCTCCGGGGTCTGGAATGCAACCTTGGAGGGGGTAAAAAGGGGCAGTTCAGTGGGAGAGGCCACAAGATGAGCTACCCTGAGCCCCCTTCGGCCTCGTTCTTCCCTTTCCAAAATGCTTTCCACACATGGACAAAAGCCCAGCTAGCAAAAAAGGAAAGGAAGCTGCCTGGTGGCATCCACAGCAGCTTTCCTCCCCTGAAGGACATTTGAGTTAATTCCTAATTTGAGTTAGGAATGCAGCATGGCAGGAAGGGGTTAAACGAGCCAGGCTGCAGTTCTCTTTGTGGCTGCTATTGAAGAACCACAGAAACAGCCCTGTGGAATGTGATCAGGTTTGTCATCTAGTTTGGCCTTCAGCTGTTTTATGCATATGTAAAAAAGTCTGAAATGTTCATCTAGAAAGTGTAATGTGCGAAATAGTTCTCTGAATAACTGCAGTGATAACAAGCTGTGACTCTTTGCTTCTGTGAGCAACACAGATTAAGGACATGGCTCTGTACTATTTTGCAGAAGTCTTACTGGAGTTCTTGGGTTGGGGAGTGGGGGAAGAAGATCCAAAGCATTGTCTTTAAATTCTCTTCCCCTCTCAGGCATTCCATCCTCTCTGGCTGTCTCTCCCTTTCTCTCTCTCTCATCCTTAAAAGTAAATTTGCATGAAAATATTCATAAAATCAGATCGTTTTTCTTTTGAAGCAGTTTAGGCATGCCTTTGGCTTCATTAATTTCCCATCTATTGTTAACATAATTTGCTACATTAAAAAGCATAATGATGTTGCATTTGAAAGATTATTACTTTGCAGGGGGAACAAATCACTAGAACAGATGGAGCTATCCAAGAGACAAAAGGAAACTTCCCCAGCCATTCTGCAGCCTGTAGTGAGAAAGAACTAGAGAGGAGTGTCATTGAAATGAAAAAGAGTGCTCTTCTGTCTAGTGTCCTGATCAGAGTGGTGACAGGAAGCCAGCCGGTTCAAATTGCCACTTAGTAAAGGGTCTTTCTGAGTGGCCTTAAGCCTGCTAATGCTCAGACTCAAATTCCCTTCAATATCATGAGGCCAGGCCTGGCTTCTCTTCAGGGCTCCAGGAAAGATAATTTCCATAGTTCTTGAGAAGCAGAGTGACCACTTAGGTGGAAATGAACACAAGTTGCTTCTCTGCAAACATGGCTACACTTGCACTGCCTGGAAGTTGGGAAGCAAAGGGAATTGAAACCATCTTTCCAGAGAGGCATTCCTAGGAGTTCCCATGCAAGATCTCTGATGTGGCTGGGTTGCCAGTGGGGCAACCCAGCCACATCTACTCCAGGTTTCACTATGAATTTACAGGAGCTAATCCTGGTGCTGAATCTGTTTTAGGGGTGGGGATTTGCATAGTTTTAGTGTGATTTGTTTAAATGGAAGTCGAGTTCTTGACTCCAGTTTTGTGTAAGTATTTCAAGCAATTCCACAGAAGCTTGAAAAAAGTCTCCAACCCAGCCTTTTGGCCATCAGGTCAAACACAAGAAATGTGTTTAAGGACTGTTGAGCAAATGGAATGAATTTCATGGAGCTGCACTCTGCTAGGAAGATCCAATGGCTAGGAAAGACCTAGTGAGGCCTCTCTCTCTCTCTCTCTCTCTCTCTCTCTCTCTCTCTCTCTCTCTCTGTGCGTGCGTGCGTGCGTGCGTGCGTGCGTGCTGGTGATTTATTACTGGGTATCCTAGAGCAGGAGAACAGCTGGAACTGGAAAAAGGTTGCAACTTTCTTGGCTCTCCAAACTCTCTCCTTCCCTATGCCAAACCTGAGGTCTTCTGTGATGTCCAGATGTTGCTCTACTTTCATAACATTCTAGAAGGAACTTCCTGATATAAATCTCACCTAAAGGATCATCTAACCCTTATCTTATGAGGTCTAGAGTGGTCACCGCAGAGGAAGCACTTACTTGTTGAAATACTCTAGGAAGATGAGGTTCGTGGAGGTGCCTATGATGGTTGTGAGTCCCCCAATTGTTGCCGCATAGGAGACGCTCAGTGTAAGGCACTTGCAAACCATATGGTCATGCTTAGATGGGTAGCGGTGTTTCCCATGGAGGTCCACATTTTGAGGCTGAGGTGGCAGAACAAGGATCTGAGCCTGTAAAGGAACCACACCATGTAGGTTGAAGTAATCTCTGCACTGATAATTGCTTAACTCTCAGAGGAAGAAACTGCCCATTGTTAATTTGACTTCAGTAGACATACAGAGGACTGGCACATTAAACACTGTTACAAAGTCCCCTCAGCAGTTCCCCCAAAAGTGTTTGGTCAATAAGAGAAATGAAAGATCAGCTGTAATCAGCCTCTGGGAAAAATTCGGATCAGAGGGGTTCTGTTAGAGACAAATAATCCTCAAGTAACACGAGAAGGTGAGGGCAATAGTTGGCCGACATTTCATCTCTAATTAATTGTGTCTGGAATGGTCTTTGGCAAGTAACTCTCCAGTCAGTCTGAGCTGTCCATCTGTCCAATGGGACGGCAACCAGGCCATGCAACAGCCCACAGTATGAATGGGCAGCTGCTAGTGCCCTAGCAGGGCCCACCACTGTGGCCTATCATGGCCTCCCTGGATCTGCACCCCACCCTGCTGTGTGACTGGCCTGCAAGCAGCCACTTTAGTTTCCCAGAAGGCCCTGGAATGACACTATCTCAGCAGCATTGTGGACCTTTTAATGACAACCTCACCATGATTATACTCTTTCTGCTGCTGCTAGATAAGGGCTCATCTGCATGACAAGGAACCTACCAGAGATCATTTTGCTGAGCTCTCTATGCCGTCAACCCTGACATCAGATTTCCAGAAAGATAACATTACGCACAGAGAGGTCGCTTCTGCTTGTGACCACAAAGGTCAAGCATCTGTATAAATTAGGCCCAATAGTCATTTTTAATAAACCAAACTTGTATACTGTAAACTGCCCAGAGAGCTTCAGCTATTGGGTGCTACGTTCTCACCTGGGGTAGATGCTGCCCATTGGTTTTGGAACTCACTGTTCCAATTGTGTTGGCTATCATGTGCACCCCATTCATGTTCTGTGGAAATGAAAATGTCCTTTTGTTAGAAAGCATTCCTTTCAGTGCCTTTCCAGGAAATCCCTTAGGATCTTTTTCTAAAGAAAATCCGCATTTCTGCAAACCTTGGGAATTCAGCATGGGTGGTGGAATTTGAGCCAATAAGTAATGGCAGAAATAAAAGAACTCTTAAACAAGAGTCATGTGACCAGTGTGCCCCCCAACCATTTTTGTGGTCCCACAGCTACCCCATTTCCTGCGGGGCTGGTAAAGAAATCAATGATTTGCCACCAAAATTTGGTGGGGCAGCAATAGCAACAATGAGTCAATTTTACTTTAAACTAATTGTTCAGATATCTGAAGACAGTATCTTCTCCTAGGCCTTTCAATCATTTATCAGGGGGCTTTGTTTCCACACTCCATCATCCTAGTTACCATCCTCTGGACATGCTCCAGTTTGTCAATGTCTTTTTAAAAAGTGGGATGCAGAACTCAACACTTCAAAGCCAGCTGGACCAGAAAGAAGTGAGTGAAATAACAATTTTCTCTGATCCGCACACTCTACTTCTGTTCCGAATTAGCATAGGAGCGTTGCATGCCAGCTGACACATTAAACCAGTCTTCTCCAACCTGGTGTCCCCCACATGTATTGGACTCCAACCCTCAGCTTCCCTGACCACTGTAACCATACTGGTTGCCCATCGTGGGCTTTATAGCCTTATACATCTGCGAGGAACCACACGGGGGAAGGTTGCATCAGAACACAGGAGAACATTGCACAATCATTGTGATCATGTACTACTTCTGTCAGATTTACTGTTTTGCAAAGCACAGGTTCAGTCTATTAAAATACCTTTGAATGCACCAGGGAGCTGAAGTCAGCTGTTGTAGCACTACAAGAAAAAAGAAAGAGATGTGGGGAGGGGGAGGAAAAACACTAATTTTAATTTCCAGTCGTATTATAGTAGGCCAGTCCCAGGAGATAAAGCTATCGTAGCTGGGTTCCATGAATCTGTCTTCACGAAACCTGTGGAGATGGTTAGGCTGAGAGTGACTGGCAACAATCACTCAGGGCCATATGATTATTCTATGCATGTTTAGGCAGAACAATCAGCCCAATCAGTATTCAAGGCCCAGCAACAGCTAATGAGTTTCATGGCTGAGATGAGACTCTAGTCCAGGCTGGACAAACTTCAGGCTTGTGGGATCTACTTTGTGTTTCTGCTAAACCTCAAGATTTTGTGCCAGTCAAGATTTGGTCTCCTCCCAATAGGCACAAAAGTCATGCACTTAGAATTAAAGCATTCTGGGCTCACAATTTTGTTCTCAGTGCCAGAACCAATGGAGCTCACTGTCCTTCCATACCAAAATCCAGTTCTGATTGCCTCAAGATTTCTTGATTTCACCTGTACCATTTAGAAGTGGAATAATGCTGGCATCAGAATTAGCCACATCATCAGCTCTTCCACATGGAGGGGGCTTCCAGTGTTACAGGAAAGGGGTGAAGGACTTCCAGAAGTCCTCTCAAGAGAACTTGATAGTATATACCGCTTCATAACTGCAGTTTAGATGTAGCCATCGCTCTAAGTTATCTTAAAGACTAGTCACACAAGGTGTGGGGCACAGAGCAAGGCATACTCTATCCAGGCCTCCCAGCTGAGTAGAAACTTCTGCCAGGGCAAGAGAAAGGGAAGGACTGGCTTGGCTTCTTTCTTCTGTTTGTTGCCAGTGTTCCCCTTCAAGGCAGAGATGAGGTTGAGCAATTTGTTTGATTCACATTTTAATGCAAACTTACCTAATCTGCATTTCCCAAACTCATACACAATTGAGATGGTATGCAACTAGATTTCAACACGTGCACTTTCACAAATTCTGCAATCTGGTTCTCCAACCAATAAATGTGTGGAAAGAAGGATAATCACAGAAAAATGCATACGAATATATTTTTCTATAACATACAAAGCCACATTCAGTTAGGGAGCATTGCTTGCAAAAAGAATGTATTGGGTAAAATGCATACAGTGACGCATGTATCTGGAGGAACGTAGACAAAAATATCTATACATTTTCATTCCATTTTTTAAAAATTGCAAACTGATGCCAAATTGGGTACAGTGAGCAAATTGAAAGAAGCATCCGCCTCTACTGACTCAGGAAGAAATCTTTAAAGAGGAGGGACATTTGGAATCTGAATGAGGCTTATGGAGAAGTTGGGAGGTAAGTGGGGAGTTCCAAGCCCAAGACAAATTCTAGGCTTCTTGAGACTCAGATCCTCTTTTGAAAGAAGCTGTATGAGCTCTCCACCAGTAGGTTCCTTTCCAGGACTGAGATCAGAGAGCTTGGGTGGCATCTCTGTAGTCTATGCTTCCTGTATTTCTCAAGTCCTTGTCCCAGTCCTTAGCAATCACTTGCATGAGGTTTTAATCCCAGCCAAATGGCCACCTTTCCTTGCTTCAGATAAACTTGAGCACGGCCTGTTTTGTTACGTAAGCAATTGAACATCCACAGTCCTCTTGCCAGCTCAGCCAATCAGTCCCAAAAGGCTTCACTTCCAGAAATGCATATGAGAGAAGGTCCTCACATCCAGCCATGTGACGTCAAGCACATCCGAAGGCATGAATGGGTGAACCCTCCATAAGGGCCTAATTATACACTGTATGCAAGTGAATATAACAGAGCCTAAAGAAAAGCAAGCTAAGGGAAGGATAATTTGGACCAGAGGGCTGTTGTGCAAGACGTTTCTTGACTCCTTTTCTGTACCCCATAGCTCTGCTCCGAAGGGCAAAGCCCCTGCAGCGTTCCCCCAAGTCCTATGGGTTCCAAGATACTATTTGCAAGTGTACTTTTGTGTTTGGTGGGGGAAAGAGCAACTTGAGATGGACAATGTAGCAGGGGAATGGTAGACTGAGAGAGGGTTCTGCGCACTTTTCACTGCCTCTCTCTTAAAACTGCTTTTCTTTTAAACAGAGGGGATCGGAGAGAGAAGGGCTCTCTAGCATACATTTATGTGTAGTTGACAGTGAGGTATCAGGTCGGGGGGGAATGTTCATGCATCTCAGATATAACTAGCACTTTCTTCCCACCCAGAAATTCCCATATTTCCCTTTTAATGCAGGACAAACAAATTCCTTCTGCTACAACTGAAATTAAGGGGGGAAGTGATATTGTTTTTATTAAATGCTTAGCAATCACAGTTGCTTTTTTCCAATGAATTGATGCTGGCTATGGGATTCAAGTGCATTCCAGGGGAGCAGCAATGCTTTAACCCTGCCTTCCCTGGGCTTGTATCCCTCAGATGTGATGGACTGCAATACCCAGCTTTCCCAGTTGGTATCCTTGGCTGGTTGGGAATGTAGTCCATGACATCCAGAGGGCATTAGGCTGGGGAAGGCTGGTTTGACCTGACCCCCCTCAGCCAGAATCCTGTTGAAAATCTGCCCTCCCACCTCATGTGACAACCCACAGTAAGAGGAGAGCTGTCAATTGGCACCAGTGGAAGGTTTTTATTATTCATAATACTGATTGCCACACAGGGACGGAGGGGGAGAATTTCATCAGGATTTCAGACAGGGAGGGAAGGTTTAAACCTCCCTTTCCAGTGGTATAATAGACTCAGGCCCCCCAGGGATGGGTTCTGACACTTCTTGGGTCACAGTGTCATCTGCGACCCTCCTCGGAATTCCCTGATCCCTCTGAGTTTAGCTGAAAATCTTTTCATCAGCTGTGCAGAAGTGAATTTTCCCAAGAGAAATGCACTGATTTGATATTAAGTTTATTGGGATGGCCTGTATTTGAATGGGCAATAAAGACCCTCTGAATTTACAAAAGCACCTGCTCCAGATGAAGATAAAACCATCAGAACTGAATTTTTGATATGGAGCAACGCATCTGCCTCTCCTTGCAGGAAAATGGCTGTGGGAACCACCTTGATCAGCACCCAGACTTAGACATTTTTCACCACGCCACTGTCCCCTCCCCTTGTGTTGCAATTCCAGTGAAAACTGGGAACCTCTGCACTCAGTATTACCTGAAACAAACACAAAAACCCAGCATGGTAGCTAAGCCATACAACTGTCCTAGAACTGTATTTAATTTTCACCCCAATTGCCATCATGCGTGCAACACACCTTCCTTCCTTCCTTCCTTCCTTCCTTCCTTCCTTCCTTCCTTCCTGCCAGCCAGCCAGCCAGCCAGCCAGCCAGCCATGAGCACCATAGAAATGAGGCCCCATCCCATCCTGCTTCATGCTATTCTTTCCACGATCCCCGCCCTTAACTGTCTTTGCAATCTGCCATTTGCTGCTCCTGATTTTACATTTTATCTCATTGTGACCTGAAAGGGTTCATAATGTCCATTAGAGCTGGACAGGCTTCGTTCTTACTCCTCGTTGATGAAAATGAGCTCCAGTGATGCTTGCCCATGTTTGTCACCGAGACCTGGAGAAGAAGAAAGGGAAGGCGGTGTAGCTTTGGTCAGGGTTCAGAACTCGGTACACAACAGGATGTAGTCCTAATAAAGCTATGGCCCCTTTGTGGGTTTTGGGAGATGCCACAAAGCTCTGTATACCCCAAATCAATAGATGGTTACTTCTTCCAAAGCAAAAGTAGTGAGGACATAAAATCCGGTGATTTTTTTGTTCTGTCTTTTCCCTGGAAGCCATTGCCAGTTTCACAGAACTTGGATGCTGAGCATGAAACCATGAAGGAGGCTGTGGCTTCCACGCCCTGCTTCTGCATGGGAAACAGCATATTTATTTATTTAAAGGTTTAATATACTGTCCCAATACTAAAAGTCTCTGGATGGCTTACAAAAAATCCAAAACCAAAAAAACAAAGCAACCATAGCAATACCAATACACAACCCACTGCATTCGGTAAATGATGATAAAACAAGGATAAAACCAATTAACTGGTAAAATATTGGGAAAATAAAAAGCATGATAAAATATTGTGCTAGGTCCTGCCATTCCAACCTTGGGGTCCCCAGATGTTGCACAGGCAACTGTCTTACCATGAGCCACCCCCCTCCCCCTTGGCTGCTCTGGGCCAGTATTGTTGATAGCTCCACCTGGGGCGCTTGAATTGATTCTGGGACCTTCTGCATCCACATTGCGTGCTCTGCCATTGAGCTACAGCCCCTCCCATTAAGCCACGGTCAGCTTGGTCAGGGATCATGGCCTCTGTGGCCCACCATCCAGGGACTCAAGACTGGGGAAGGTTGGGTGAGATGGGCCTTTGGTTTGGCCCTGCAGAGCACTTCTTCTGCTCTAACCTCCCCACGGCATTAGGTGTCACTAGATACCTATTGTCTCTCTCTCTTCCAGGATGATGTTGCCCGGGGTACCATTCGACTCACAATCCTCCTCAGTATTGACTAGTTCCTGCAGCACAGCTTCTACAATAGGCATCACCATGGCTGCCGTGGATGTGTTGGAAAGCCACATGGATATGACAGTGGTGCAGCACATAAAGCAAAGGAGCAGCCTAGAATACAGGGAGGAAAAGGCGTTTGGAAGACAGGCACTGTGGAACGCTCTCCCACCACTCCCATCCCCTCCTCCTCTTCCTCCTCTTTCCACCCAGATTCTAAAATTCTAGTAAATTACTGACATTTCACCCCTTTACTTTATGGTACAGGTTTGCATCCAGCAGTCTGAACAATGTGTTATCAAAGAAAGCACAGTTTATGAACATTATGTATAATCAGAGATGCTTTGATTATACGCAAAGCAACTATACTAAAGTTGGGCTGGTTGGGCTCTCGGGCTCCTGTCAAGAGTCTGCAGCATGGGTCCTCGAGCTACGGCCTGCGGGATGGATCCAGCCCACCGTGCCATCCGTCCGGCCCGTGCCGTCTCGCGCTGCCCGGGTGTGAGCGTGCTGCGCGGGGGGGGGGGGGGGGGGCCGCAGCTTGCTCACTCAGAGATGGTCTTGCTGCCATCGCCGTCACTGCCTGCCTCCTGGACACCTGCACTCGCCGCTGCCTCGCAGCGCAGGAGGGGAGGTGGTGGCTCGCTTGCTCGCTCACTCGGAGATGGTTTGGGCTCGCTGGGAGATCTCTGAGCGAGCGAGCCCCGCTGCTCGTGCCCGATGCCGCCTCGCACGTGCCCGACGGCACCTCACCGGCCCGTGCCCCAGGCGCCCCCACCTCGCCAGCCCACGACGGTCGCCGCAGCCTTTCCACTGGCCCCCTCTTGAACAAGTCTGAGGACCACTGGTCTACAGCCTAGGAAGGGTCCACTGAGGAGAACCACATGGAGCTGCTCCACCTGTTCAACATTGCAACCTGCCTCTTTACCTTCCTTTTGCTCTGGCTCAGACCTAGCCTGGATGGGAGCTGGGTGGTGAGAACAAGGATCAGTAGATGCCACGGTCTGTTGGCTCTCTGAGAGAGAGGAAGAACTTGGGAGAAATGATGAAAAAGAGGATGAGGAAGAAGAGCAGCTGGCGACCATGAGGAAGTTAAGGTAGACTCACTGGCAAAGTACCCTTTGACCCTTGGAGGCAGCACTGTTTATCTGAAATTAGAAGAATTTCAGGAAAACTTTGGTGCCATTGCAAACATTTGAACTTACCCTTTGAACTCAAAAAAGGTGTCACAGAGACAAGAATATCAATGGATTACCTGTAGAAATTAAAACCGAAGCAATGGGGAAAAGGAATGACAGACCACAATAAGAAGAAGCAGGAAAGGAAAGGAAAGGGATAGGAGAATATTTTCAAACTATGAAATAGACTGCACGACTGTGTTAGAGGAAATGATGTGGATGCATTTGATAACCCATGAATTGCATTTATTTCTTTTGAATCCTACTTTCCATCTGCGTGCAGGGCTGTTGACCCTTTGATTGGCTAATAAGCACCAATAACTACTTCTAACGACTGGTTGAGTTTTCATTCTGTAAATACTCCCTCTGCCATCCACTTACATGCCCGGTTTTGCTCCAGCCATCATAACCATACGCAAGGCGATCCGCTTGTGCAGATTCCACTTTTCCACAGAGGCTGCCACACAAATTACCCCCATGAGCAACAAAGTGGTGTTCTTGATGTATTCTGCAGCCACCTACAGAAAAGGCAAGTTGGGCATAGAGTAAAGGGACAGAAATATTACAAACAAATTCCGTCCTAGGACACTAGAGCAGCTATAGAGTCTAGTAATGGGAATATTGCCTTCCACACCCTTCCACCCTTTTTGTTTAGTCGCTGCTTTCCTGTGTTCAGCTTGATTTCATGCATTCACATAATCCTCCTAAAATTCTGCAAAATATAAGAGCAAAGCAATTCACTCATTTGATTAATATATCTTAAAGAACTTGGCTCATCTACTGTGCAAACTCTGGAATTATTAATTTTGCTTGCATTCCATAATAACCCATGTAGTAACTAATGTTGCTGCGATATATGCATTTGATCTTGACCTCCCTTGAAAATGCTCCAGGCAATATACCCTCCCCTCTCGGCCAAAGTAATTCTTCAAGATGAGGTAAGCTAAGAGATAGTGACTGGCTCAAGATCACTCAGTGAGTTTCAGTGCCTAACGGGAATTTGATTGCAACTGGGTTGCTTCAGCCCAGGAGCCCACTAGCAACCCAGTAGCAGCAGCAGTTAGCGTGTTGTAGTGGTTAGAAATTAAGTCTGAACAGTCTAACCACCACAGGCCAACAACTCTGCTCCAGTTTTGCAAGAACCCAAACAATTCTCATGTGAACATTTTCCATGGTATGAAAATTACTGTGGGACACATGAGCACATCTTTGTAGCTCATTTCCTGTCCCCTTTTTATCTGTGTGCAGCTGTCTTTTTCTGTCTCTGTCAGTATTTGATTCTCTCATCAGCCCAGATGCTAAGTCAGGGTAGGGAACCTAGTGCAATGTAGATGTTCTTCTGTTCTACAACTCCTTTGATTTATGACCACTGGCAAAGGTGGCTGAGGGTGATAAAAGCTGTAGTCCAAAACATCTGGGAATCACCAGGTTGATGACTCCTATTCTGGGATGCACTGTGGTTAGAATAAACGATATTGTTTGGTTAAGGTGATGGTTGTAGAACATCTGGCTGTCTGGGCTCTGCACGTCAACCCACACAGTCTTCTGGCTTCTGCCATGTGGACGAGGCTTGGCTTCCAACATTCTCCCCTGGAGAAATGACCTTGAAGGAATCCCCACTGTTATCATTGGCTAAGAGATTTCACAACTTCTTCAGGAATGTTGGGTGCCACCTGAAGCCAGGACTAAGTCCACATTGGGATGAGCAGCTCTTCCTCCCAACACTGGCTGGGTTGTGCTGCACAAAGTGTGGCATCACCAGACAGATGCCAGGTGCCACCCTAAGCATGGAATTCATGCTTCTCCCAGCACCAGCTTTCACTGTCTCTCTTTCAGAACAGCTATATTGGGAAGGCCAGGAACAGATGGCATCAGCGACTGTGGCCCTGCCCTCTGATGCCATCTGACCCACAGATGGCGCAGCAGGGAGGCAATTCACTCCTTGATCATAACCCAGTTCTGCACTCCGGATCTAGCTGGTTCCTGAGTTCAAGGACCAAATATGTGGCAACAGAATTACACAGATATGTGACTCACAGACAGACAACAACAAATGCTCACTGCAGTTGGTGGTAAGTAGCATCTTCCTGAGACAGGATCTACCCCAGACAGTAGAAATCTAAAATGAGCCATTCTCTTGGGGATGGTTAAATATTGGCAGTGGTGGGCAAGAGGTAAGGTTCTGGGCCCTTGACCCGATTCTCAGCCTTCTGTGATATTCCCTATAAACTCCATTGTTGGTTGAACAATATCACAAACACACAGTAGAGCAACATGCCCTGTTGGCTCCCCTATCAACCCACCTTGCTATCCTTCCCTACTTAATAACTTGAATTAAATGTTCCAGGTGCGGGAAACTGATCTTTCCTACACATTTCTTACAATGAACCTTCCTGCAGGGGAACATAGGAAGCTGTCCTATATCAAGTCAGGTCACTGGTCCGCCAGCCCTCTTGTAGTGGTTCCCCAGGGTTTCAGAGAAGAATCTTTCCTAGCTCTACCTGGAGATGTCAGAGACTGAACATGGGGCCTTCTGTATCAGAAGCACTTCTATATTACCGCCACGGAGTTACAGTAATGGTTTGCTTCAAGGATTGGTTACACTTTATCTTGTTTTGGCTTGCTTCCACTGGCTCTTGCCTTTCTCCCAGCCTCTACCCTCTGTTAGCTTGAACAGCAAGAAAAAATCCATCGAAACAAACAGCACAAAGGACCTTTCTTATTACCCTTGATCCTTTTCACACTTTTGGGGGTGGAGGAGTTGCAGAAACAAAGACTAATGTTCTTACAAGCACAAGGTGCTGGGTCAGAGGCAGCAGGTTTGCTCTGGCTTAAATGGGGAGAAAGAGCCTTCGTCATGCTTTCTAGCATGCCAAAATGACTTAACCCTAATCCCCCAGAACCACCCTGGGTTGACGCGACTTGGTCTTCTGGGAAGAGTTGCTACAAGTCAACTTTAAGTATGCTCACCAGCAGTAGCGTGGGAGCCCCGATGAGCAGCTGGTTTCCTTCACAGCATTGCAAGGAAAGGGCTAAGGTCAACCGGAACATCAATAGGCACACTTCAGCACTGCCCATGCAATGCTTCTCTTTGCAGCATTACCAGGACCAGCGTGGGAGATGCCGTACTGCAATAATTCTCGTACCAACTCTAAGGAAGTGATGCTCTATACAAGGGACAGGCAACATGCGGCCCCTGGCTTGCATGCAGCCACTCCGACCATTGCTATATCCCCACTGCCACCACCAAATTTGCCACAAAGGCAGCTAGAAAGCAGCCATTCTGTAAGGAAAAAGGCATGCAGCATGTTCATATCCTGTTTGTGAGCAGAATCCTACTGCACCTTGTTTCCTTGCAAAGTTGCCTCTTTGGGGGCCAGTTCCATGGGGATTTTGGCTCTGGCAATTGTGGTGGAAGGGATGGAATGTAGCCCACGGTCCCCCAACCCCAGAAGATGCTACACCTGCTATACACCAATGCCCTGTACCACTGGGGCTTCTAATGAACAAGCATTTGATCCTGAGCTCCCTTTAACATGCTCCAGTCAATGTATATCCTCCCCTCTTGGCCAAAGTAATTTTTCAAGATGAGGAAAGCTAAGAGATAGTGACTGACTCAAGATCACTCAGTGAGTCTCAGTGACTAATGGAAATTTGATTGCAACTGGGCTGCTTCAGCAAAGGATAAGGTCGTCTGTCTCACAAATTTGAATTGTTGCCCATTTGCACAAATGATCCATTCTCTTCCTAGATGGAAGTGGATTACATAGACCCATAAAACAACAACATTGCCAGGAGCAATTGGACCAGCTGAACTTCACAGCATTCAACGTTGGTCTAGAGAAGCTCACAGCCTTCAAGCTGGGGCTTGTGTTCATTGTCTTACCGTGTGATATAGCCAAAAGGATCTCCAAAGAGAAAGACAACAGGGTACAAGCTCTGTCCCTTGCAGGGTGATCCACCAACCACCTGCCACCAAACTGTAAGCTAGCAGGGAGAATGCAGGGCAAGGATGCGGCCCAGTGGTGGTGAGAGTGCTGGACTGAGGGCCCAGGAGATCCGCGTTCTAGTCCCTGCTTGGCCAAGAAGCTCACTGGTGCACTTTGGGCCAGTCACAGACTCTCAGCCCAACCTGCCTCACAGGGTTGTTGTTGTGAGGATGAAATATAAGCTGCCTTGGGTTCCTCTCAAGAGAAAAAAGACAGGCTATAAATGCAATCCAACAGTAGTCATCATAATAGTGAGTATCACAATCAGTGACAGCAGAAAGGATTCAGCACCTTTCTGGATTTCTGAAAGGGTTCTTGTCCATCATGTTTGTCACTTCACACCCTTGTAGGGTGGCTGCCTGAAGTGGAGAGCCTCCTCGATCTGTGGGAACTCTACCTGAACCAGGATGCTCATGGAGAGCCACCACAGACACCAGAGGGTTCTCCTCTTCAGGTGATCACCTCCCTGAGTACGTAGCCACTGAAACAACAGAGGAATGGAGCCAGGCAGAAGCTTCCCTTTGCTTCACACAATACTGCTAACTCTCTTCCGAATGCCTGAACAGGGCTAATATTTTTCATTGGCATCAACTCCAACTCCCAGAGTGCACATGATCACCATGAGACATGGGACACAGGAATCATCACGACCTTGTGTGGTCACACAGCAGCTCTGACACGTGCAGCACATTTGGTTGTGCACCTCTTCTTGATCGGTGCAAAAGCAGATTACCTGGGGGCACCAGATTCGGGATGCAGTTGCACAATCACAGAAGTAGACTTGACATGGAGAAATGGAATGTGTAGGGCTCTATCCCCCAGTACCACCTAGATGGGAACACAGATAGTCCCACTGTAGCCACCAACTCCGCATGCAGTCCACCTTCTGTGAGTTCCTACTTGGTGGACACAGCCTCCTGAAGGCTGAAGACTTGACCGGTGTGGGATGCAGCATTACAAGCCACAAGCATAAAAACAGAAAGTGCTCTAAAACCATAACACACCATAAATACACACACACTATTCAACAGTAGTAAGAAGGTCATGCATTTCCACCTTCCTTTGAGAGCCATCCTATGCTAAATAACCTGCATGCCATCAACCTGCAGGCATGTCTGACTCAAGCCTCAGTAGCCGTGAGGGTGAAAGTACACACATCTGACCTCGCTGGACTTCATGACTCCAAACAGTGGGTAGAGGAAAGCAGGAACAAGAGCTGCTGCCCCGAGGGGCACTGCTTCCGAAACCCAGTACACCGCTGTCACGATCAGCACATAAGCGCACGACGCTTCCTGGAGAAAGAGAGAAAGGAAGGAGTCATTCCATATCACTTCAGCATTTGGCTGGAGCAACATTTGCAGGCCCGGCTTGGCTGGTATGCCAAGACTGATGCTTCAATCAAGTGACCAATCCAAGGAGACATCTCAGGATTTGTACTTGCACAAAGCAGTGGGTTCAAGATGCATTTCATATGCTCCAGTTGAGCTTCTGGCTGAGTGGGGACTAGAACCCAGACCTCCAGAGTTTCAGTCCAGCCCTTGAACCACTATGCCAGACTGGCAGTATGTCATACTAGCTCTTAAATTCATATGTCAACCTGCAAGCTAAATCCAGACCCTGGCAGGGTACCTGTGAACCCTGCACATCACCTTCTGCCAAGCTGGGATGCAGCTTCTGCTCTAGTTGGTACATCCTTTTCTGCAAAATAAAGCATCTCAAGGGCCAGCTTATGCAGGAAACAGAGAAACCTGCAGAGGTCTTTTTGAGACACCTCTGAAGCATCCTACAATATATTGCTGGAAGGGTTTCCCACCTACTTGTTTGGCCTGGGCAGGGGCCTCTTTTAAAGGCTGACCCCACTATGTGGGAAAAAGGGACTCCAGTGTACACCAAGTCAGACTACTGGAGACATTCCACCCCCCCCCCCCAGCAGGAGTAATTGGCATCCGTGTTTCCTCTGAAAAAGCAGCCTCGGTTGGTCTGATGCCTGCAGCTTTAAACATGCACACGGCAGCTCTTAGAGTCGTATAATCCTCCACTGGTAACTTGCTTTGGTACTTAGCCATTATGCAACTCCGATTCATCTTGTAAGCTCACTAGCCTGGGGTTCATTATCCCCTGGTTTGGGGATCTGGCCAGCAGAGAACTTTTCTCAAATTCCTGGGGAAGGAGAAGTAAGCAACCAGAATTGGCAGCTGGGGCCATTTGTGTACATGGAGAACCATGAAAATGTAGCCTGTCCCATTGCTTTTGGTGAAAGAGACAATTCAGTCAACAATGGCTTCTTCTGACAGATAAAGCTAAGGATGGATGGATCTGTGGGTTTAATCTTTACTGCATCCACGTTTGTAAAAGTTCAAGCTCTTCCCATTCTAAAGGTGAAAAAAGTTTGAAGTTTAGTAAATTCTTATTGAAAATGAATGAAAACAGAATTCTAACCCAGCTGCACTGGTGAAATTCAATAGGTATCTACGTATATATAGATACTACAGGATTATGTGGTATCTAAAATAACATATTATATTATATATATTAAGACACACTCTATAAGTGTTAAGGAAGAGGTATCATTCAGAAAAAAAGATGGCAATCTTAGTTCTTGGTTGAAAACACAGAGATTCATACTCAGACTTTTTGGAGCTAAGCACTCAGTCCCTGGGCTTGGATGGATGAACCTGTTAGTTTCGGGTTCTCTGCCATCAGATGTTTTGGGGTTTGTCTGTTTATCTTTAATTTCAACTTATTTCCATTCTGAGCATTGAGTAATTTGTGAATTTGGTAAATTATTATCAAAGAAATTGGAATTCTCCCCCATTCCTAGTACATAGTAACTTTGTATACGATTAATATAAAACTCCCAGTTATGGTACTCCATCCTGAAGTTATGTTTGGTTTCAGGAGTGGGGAACATGTGGCGGTCTAGATCTTGTAGTGCAATGATACCCATCAGCCCCAGCAAACAAGGCCAGTTGTCATCATCAACCATTCAGTCATGTCCGATCATTGGCCACTGTATGGATCATTGCTCTCCGTGCCTCTCTGTCTCACACTGCTTCCTTCAAGAAGGAAGACCAGCAGCTGGGGACAATAGGGAGCTGCAGTCCAAGGACTTCACAGGTTCACCTCCACTGTTGTATCTTAGGGCTGTGAAGAAACCCCCATGGTTGCAAAGACATTTTCTTTGCTTGCCTCAACATTCCTCAGAAGTTTCACCCCTAAGCAGCAGCCTCCCGCTTTGCCTCACACAAAAACCTTTACGAATGCATGGATCACTTTCTCACTGCCTTCAAGACATGGTCTTCCTCTTATTAAAATTCTCCTCATTTCCCTTGGAATCCCACAGATTTTTCATCTGGGCAAGGACCTTTAAGCGAAAGGCTGCAAGATCACCAGTACAGGAAGCAGTCAAGACACCAGTATCATAGTAATAATAACAACTGTGCATTACAAGTGCATTTGGCCACTTCTTCAGAAAAACAGGGAGGGGTGATGGCTTTTCCTCCACCCTGCAGCTGGCTGGGAGGGTCAAAGGCTGTGCATGCAAAGGCACACACAGCTGAGATCTTGATCACTAGTTCCTCATGGCCAGCATCCTTTTTACCACCTTCCCCTATGGTCTTGATATATTTTCTGGAAATATAAAGGAGGAATGGAGGACCATCTTGGGTGTGCATGTGGGATTCAGCAGCTGAAGGGGGTCACGCACTCTTGGGCTGCAGTTAGGGTCTTGGGGATGAGGTTGTGCAACCCTGATAGAAAAACAGGTAAATAGGTGAGAGAGAGAGAGAGAGAGAGAGAGAGAGACAGACAGACAGACAGACAGACAGACAGACAGACAGACAGAGAGAGAGAGATGATAGACAGACAGGCATTTCTGATGAAGATTGACTTTTATTTTATTTCCCAAACACCCTGTAGGAAGTAGGCATTATTCAGTGCAGACGTCTTCCTTTGATTTCTTGAACTTGCTGCTAGAGTTGATGCTTCGGTTACTTGACTGGATATTTATATGGGACATGATTCAGCAAAGCACATAGCTAGACCTGTGTGTACAGCTGGCAAGAGACTTATTTTTCCAAAGAGCACCCCCTACACAACTCTGTTGTGTCACGAGCAAAGTCTTGAAATGTGGAAAAAATTTCAAAGCAGTTCATCAGATGGAGTGGAGGGGTAGGTTGCAGTTTAGCTGTTTAGAAAATAAAAAAGGAATGCAAACTCTGGCCAAGCAAAGGTAAGATGACATTTAGGCAAACAGGAAAGAGCTCTGAGAAATGTGTTCCCCAATCAGTGGACAACTAAACCATGCTGTCCAAACACAGTTATAAGCCACTTTATACTATGTAAACTGCTTTAAGAACTTTTTGTTCAAACTTTTATGTGGTACACAGATATTATTCTAAATCAGCTGACAAAAACATCAAGACCTCCAATAAAAGTTTGTTTAAGGGCATCAGAAACAGTGCTCAAAAAGAGGAAAGAGGAATTGGACAGAAGCAGCTGGATGAATTCTTTCCATTGTCTTCCCTACGAAAGTTGAAATGCCTCCTTGGACGGCTTTAGAAGGGGATTGGGAATTTCCTGGAGGACAGGACTATGTGGACATGTGCCGGATCACTGAACCTCAGGCTTGCAGGACAGATCTGATCCTCTTGCATCCCAAGTTTCCCTAGATGGTCACAGCCCATTTCTCTTGCTCTACCATTTCCCCTGTCCCATGACCGTTTGGTTTCCAGTCATTTGTCTGGTTTGCTCCCATTTAGCAGGACTGAAATTCCTCTCCTGAGACTTAGTCACTGGCAGTAAGAGCTTTCAACTTAGAAATGGTAGTATTTTTGGCTTGTCCCTTTTGCCTTGCAGGGCTGTGGCCACGGAGAGATTCTCTGAAATGGAATTCAGCCTTTGGCCTGAACATGGTTCTGCGCCATTCCAAACACAGAGGCGTTGCGTGCTGCTTGCTGGGGAACACGAGTAGGAGGGTGCTGCTGCACGCGTGACCTATGTCTGATAGGTCAGAAATGTCATAGCATATGACATTATGCTATGTCATAATGTCACAGGGAAGTGGCAGGAACAAAGGGCTCCCCCTCCCCTCCAAAGCAAGGATGAGGCTAGCTATGGAGGCTCATGGAGACAGGCATTCGGCGGCACTGAGAGTGCATGGCGTACATGCAGGGTTCGGGCAGCACTAACCCCTGGAAAGGCGGGGCAGAGCTGGGTTTTCAGATGCACTTTCTAAGAAACTTAACATAGTCCCCTTTCCTATGGAGTATTTCCATAGAAAAAGCTGTTGATTACGGAGGGGAGGCATTTCAGCCTTTCAGACTGGGTGGCAGAAGGGATGGCAAAAAAGCTGGGAAGCACCAAACGGTGGGCAATCAGGAGAAGACAGGGGGCAAGATAAGGGGGAAGGGGGCATGGCCATCAGAGGATGCCTATAGAGCTGGACTGGGGCCCAGGAACTTCAGATGCAGCCTGCAGGCCTCAGGTTCCTACTGCTGCTCTCTGTGGAAGTCCAGCATCCTGCTTCCCACAGAGCCCAGTCAGATCCTTCTTGGAAGCTTGAACCTCTCCTCCTAACATGTCATAACCAGGGGTTTTGACAGCCTCTAAAGCTGAAGGCTCCATGTAGTCATGACGACGAACCACCAATGGCCAACTGGCAAGCGGTTGGAGAGAAAATAATGCACAATAGTCGCTCTAGTAATCTCATCTACAAGCAAAGCAGCTTCTGTTGGGCTCTGTAATGCTCAAGAAGTAACTGGGATCTTGGATGACTGGGCTATTTAGCGATCAAGTACTTAAAGCCAGCTTGTCTTGACTGGGCTCTGCACTAATCTCTTTGGGTTTCACTTGTTTTATTTTTATGATAGACATGCTTAAGAAAGGAGTGGTGGAGTTTTATTGAGTTATGTAATGCTGCATTATTGTCTGCCTTTCCATTCTTCGTATGGAACACAAAAGGTTCCAGTTAGATTAGTTGCTCTTAACTGGCAGTTTAAGGTCAACCAGGAAGGGGATGGGAATATTGTAGCTGAGTTTCTATTCATGCTGTAACTCAGACGTGGAGGGAATTGCTGAAAAAGAAAATAGGGATTCAGTTTCAGGCCAATAACTGAAGCAGGAAGCAGCCATCGACCTGAAATAAAACATGGAGTTCATTTGGATATGTCCTGTCCTTGAAAATTGAGAACCGCACGCAGACATTTTCTTTTGTTCTGGTGTGACATTTTACTATTGTACCTTTGGGAAATACAAGGGCAAATACATTTGGAAAAGAAGTGTTCCGTGTGAG